GGAAGGGCTCCTGAGGGCAGGATGAAATGAAGGGCCAGAGTTCAGGTTTTGGTCACTGGGTGCCTGGGAATGACCCCTGCTTGGCCTGACACTCCCAGGTTGGTGTCAGCCCAGTTTCCCATCGATCACTTCACACACATCTTCATCGATGAGGCTGGCCACTGCATGGAGCCTGAGAGTCTGGTGGCCATAGCAGGTGAGGGGGCTCAGGACGGGCTATAGGTGCAGCACCCCACACCGATTGGGTAATTCCACCTTTAACCTTTCTCCCCATACCTCTCAGGACTGATGGATGTCAAAGAAACGGGCAACCCAGGAGGGCAGCTGGTGCTAGCAGGAGACCCCCGGCAGCTGGGGCCCGTGCTTCGGTCACCATTGGCCCAGAAGCATGGACTTGGCTACTCTCTACTGGAGCGCCTGCTTACCTACAACTCATTGTACAAGAAGGGCCCCAATGGCTATGATGCCCAGTTCATCACCAAACTGCTCCGCAACTACAGGTATCACTGTCCCCTCCTCTGCTGCTTGTCTTACGTCCTTCCAGTGGCCCTTAGCAGGGAGTCTCCTTTGCAGCCCCTCTTATGACCTAGCAGGTGGCTTCTTTTTCAGACCAGTGGTTTATCGGCATATTGGAAGTCCTTAGACCAGGATGTGTCTAGATGGATCTAAGTTTCTAGGCTGTCCAGCAAAAAATAAGAAAGGCAGGGAGCATAGCTTTTCCTCAAAACCACTGTTAGTTGAATGGCATATACAACTGAGGCCTATGTACTTGTGATTTTGTTTGTTTGTTTGTTTTGTTTTTTGAGACAGGTTTTCTGTGTAGCCTTGGCTTTCCTGCATTCACTTTGTAGTCCAGGCTGACCTCAAACTCATAGAGATCCGCCTGCCTCTGCCTCCCTGAGCGCTGGGATTACAGGTGTGCACCAGCACGCCTGGCTTCACTTGTGATTTTTATTTCTCGTGTGGTACTAGGGCTTGAGCCCAGGACTTTGCACATTACTTTCAATTGTCCTGATGTACATCCCCAAATCTCCTCTCCCCTTTAAGACAGGCTCTGTGTTGCCTAGGCTCATTTTAACTCGTGGTTCAAGCAAATCTGCCTTCAGTCGAGTAGGATTGCAGGTGCATGCCACCCTCGCCATCTGCGTACTTGTAGTACGTGAGTTTAGACACCAGTGTGTAATGAGTTTTAGGCGTCAGTGAGAACTTGGTAAGTGTGGGACAGGACAAATGGCTCAGCAGTTAGGAGTGTAGCGGAGAACCTGTGTTCAGCACCCATATCAGGTGGCTCCTAACCTCCTCTAACTCCAGCTCCTGGCACCTTTGGCCTTCCATGATCACCTGTACTCACAGGCACACACCCACACAGAGACACATAATTGAAAATCATTTTAAAATCTTTTAAGAGTTTAAAATGTAAGCTGGGCTGTGTTGTACATTCCTGTAAATCCCAGCATTTGGAGGTTGAGTGAGACAGGAGGATTGGGAGTTTAGGGCTAGACTGGGCTACACACTAAGACACTGTCTCAGAAATGCAGGGTTGAGATGGCTCAGTGGGTAAAAGAACTCAGTGGGTTAACTAGCCACACGAGTTGGATTTCTCAAACCCATGAACCCACTTATAGGTAGAAGGAGAGATTCCACAAGGTTGTCCTCTGACCTCCATACACGTGACACAGCATGACATCCCGCACCACACAATAATAATTGTAAAGGTTCTGTAAGTGCTTTTGTGTTGACACTTAATAGTTTTGGGGTTTAATTAAATAGTAGTGATAATAGATGATAATTTGTTTTTGGACTTTTCCTTGTTTGGTAAACTAAAACCTGAGAATGGGTCCTAATTTCTTGTGTTATGAGGAATTTGGCTGGCGGCTTATTAGAACCACATTTGGCTTAACTTTGTGTGGTTTGCAGCACCTAGCAGCAGACACTGAGGAATGTGTACTGGGAACGGTGGGGAGCACGCGGAGCAGGGCTCCCCGAGAGGCCTTTGACCTTGTTCTTTCTCCTCCTTCCCCCCCCAGGTCTCATCCCACCATCCTAGACATCCCTAACCAGCTGTACTACGATGGAGAGCTGCAGGCCTGCGCAGACGTGGTGGATCGAGAACGGTTCTGTCGCTGGGAGGGGCTGCCTCAACAGGTGAGGCCTAGCAGGGCAGGGCTCCAACCCAGACCCTGACTCCTTCCTCCTGCAGGCACACAGCCCTCCCTTCGTCATTATGACCTGGAACCCCTAGTTCCCTGGCTGGATTGGAGCGTAGGGAGGCAGGGAGATGAGCCTGAAGGTCTCCCTGTCATCTGTATCCAGGGCTTTCCCATCATCTTCCACGGTGTGATGGGCAAAGATGAGCGAGAGGGCAACAGCCCGTCCTTCTTCAACCCTGAAGAGGCTGCCACCATTACGTCATACCTGAAACAGCTCCTGGCCCCTTCCTCTAAGAAGGGTAAAGCTCGCCTGAGCCCCCGGAGTGTGGGCGTCATCTCCCCATACCGGAAGCAGGTCAGGCCGCCAATCCAAGGCTAGGTGTTCCCTCTCTGCTCACCAGCACCCTAGCCAGATGCCTGCCTCTGCCTCCCTCTTGTGTAAAAGGGATGGTAGGAGAGAAAGGCACCTGTCCCCTCCCTTCAGGTGGAAAAAATCCGTTACTGCATCACAAAACTTGACCGGGAGCTTCGAGGACTGGATGACATCAAGGACTTGAAGGTGACACGCCTCCCACCTTCTACTCCCAGCATCCCACGTGCCTCTTAACCTCAGCCTGCCTGGAGTTCTGCCCCACCCTGTTGACTCAAAGTGGAACTGGGGTTTCCCCGGGGTGGTGGGGGGGGAGTTCTGAGATGGAAGCTGGCGACATGCCTGCTTAACAAGAAGCCACGCCTTACTTATCCGTCAGTCAGGTGTGTGACCTCCGCCCTAGGGGATGAAGTCCGAACTCCCTAGACCAGTCCTGCCTGTCATGTGATATTCTCTCCTCACCGCCTATTCCGTAGTTTAACTCTTCTGGGAGGGGTGTCTCCCCACCGATTCAGATTAAAATATCACTCGGAGAAGTTTAATAAAGCCACTACTTGGGTCCCACCCAGCCAATTAGCATAGCTGTCCGGAGGCAGAGCCAGGGCACTGGTGGGGTTTCGCTGTTGTTACTGTCTGGTTTTTTGTTTTGTTTTAAGCTTCAGATGACTGATAGGTGAGCCAGGGTTGAAAACCAACCCTTTACGATTTATAGGCCTGTCCCTCGGAAGGTCCGACCAAATTGGTGGCCATCTCCAGGGAAGAGAACTCTGCTCAGTTCGTTCTTTGCAGTGCCACTTGCTTTGCTCTGAATAGTTTCCAGGACCCACCCTCTAACTGGCTCTGTCCTTCAGGCCTCCACAGTAGGCCTCCTGTCTTCTTCTAACCTACAAGTGCCCAGTGACTCGCCTGTACCTTCCTTGCAGCTTTGACGCCGTGGTTCCTCGTAGCCTACCTGGTCTTAACACTTGCCTCTGCCCTCTAGGTGGGCTCCGTGGAAGAATTCCAAGGGCAAGAACGGAGTGTCATCCTCATCTCCACCGTCCGAAGCAGCCAGAGCTTTGTACAGCTCGATCTGGACTTTAACCTCGGTTTCCTTAAGAACCCCAAGGTTTGCAGGCTCCTGGGTGGCATGAATTCTTCCTCGGGGCCTGTCCCTTCCATGACATCACCGCTTCTTCCTTCCAGAGGTTCAACGTGGCTGTGACCCGGGCCAAGGCTTTGCTCATCGTCGTGGGCAACCCTCTCCTCCTAGGCCATGACCCGGACTGGAAAACGTAAGCATTCCCACCCCATAATTTCTCTTGGTGACTAGGCGCTGCAGTCTAGGGCAGGTGTGTCCTTGCTGAGCATCAGCTCACTGATCCGTTAGTCCTCAGATCTGTGGGTGTTCACAGAGCCCGCCAAAGCAGACCAACTCTGCCTCAGATGCTGCAGCACCGAACGCTGGCCTCCAGCCTCTGCTCCCCAGCCAGGCCTACACAGCTTCCCATGCCATGTCCTGTACCCCACAGATTCCTGGAGTTCTGTAAAGAAAACGGGGGATATACCGGATGCCCCTTCCCCGCTAAACTGGACCTCCAGCAGGGACAAGATTTACTCCAAGGCCTGAGCAAACTCAGCCCCTCTACCTCAGGTATGGACAGGCCATGGTGGGCCAGGCACACGATGGTGGGAAGAAGAGGTCAGAAAAACTAAACATGTCTCTTTTCTTCCTAGGGCCCCGCCGTCACCAGAATGTCCCCCAGGACGGTGAAGAGGGCCTGCCCTTACAAGTGGAGCCAGAGTGGAGAAATGAGCTCTGAAGACAACAGCTGCCGTCTTCTCACACCAGCCAAGCCTTATTGCTGCCTATCCCTGACCCTGAACCCAGCTCACCTGTCCCTCAAGAGATGGGAAGGCTGGGAAGTTTACAGCCCAAACCATTCCACCCCTTCCTCTGCTAGGGAAAATAACCCAAGCTGCTAAAACTTGGAGGAAGGGGGAGGAAGAAAGCTTTTTTTTCCCCTCTCCTTTGCAGTACTGGGGATTGAACCCAGAGCCTCAAATACGCTAGGCAAGCGCTCAGGTGTTGAGCTGCTCTAAGAAAAACAAAATGCTGTTCTATGCAAAAGCCTCTTGCTTAAGTCTCATCAGCCTGGTCCTGCTTCCTATGCCCCCACGCTGACCCTCCAGGAGGGTATCTGCCCAGGGCCACGCCCCTTCATAGCTGGAAGGGAACCCAGTGCACAGGGAAGCCACCCACAGGCTTCTATGTTTAGCCAATGGTACAGAGCATTCCCCTCACCCACCCAGGCAGTCAGCCAAACATGACCTCATCTTTACTCTAGACTCCACCCCATCCCCTCCTGCCTCCCCCCCCCACCCCCAGCCCTGCCTCTGCAGACAGGGGCCCAGCCTAACCAGCAACTTGGAAATGAAGAAAAAGATGGGACTCCAGGCTCACAGCCAAGGTAGGCCAGGAAAGACAGGAAGCTGCCACACATGGTGCAACCTTTGACCTTTATTCGTGTCCTGCCTTCCCACCAAGTTAAGCTATTACCCAAAGCAGAAATCCCAGTCCTTACCCTAGACTCCTCCTGTGAGTCAGAAATATATAAAGTGCTGGTGTGTGATATGGGGAAGGCCAAAGGGACTAAGAGCCCCACCCCTGGACCAATGCAGCAGGAGGAGGGGCTCTGCTCAGGAAGGGCAGGGCACCAGCCTGGTTCCCAGAGGCAGGGAGGAAGGGCCTACCAGCTCCAACTTGGGGCTGGGAAAACTCATGCAGTCCTGGGCAGGAAGAAACCAAAAAAGAAACTGGCAGCATGGAGTCCTACAAGGATGGAGTGGCGGGGGCGGGAGGGGCAATTGAGATTTTGAGGAACTCAGAGAATGGGACAGCCCCTCCGGCGCTTATTCTTTCGGACCTGTAGGCCAGCCCGAGTGGCCATCTCAAATACCTCCCGCACCCCTTCCTTAGTCTTGGCTGAGCACTCAAGGTAGCCGAAGGCACTGATCCTGTTTGCCATGTCCCGGCCTTCCTCAGATCGAACAGGCTCCTGATAAGACAAGATACAGGGTCAAAAGAAGGGGCCAGTGAGCATCCTCCAGACTGGCCCTGCAGAACATCCAGGTCAGCTGACCACAGGCAGTTTCCAGACTGGAGACATAAGACCCAAGTTGCCATTTCAGAATTCTGTCCGTTCCTCTCCTCCCACCCTGCTTTGTTCCCACAGCACCTATCCCTCCTCTGAACAAGTGCGCAGCTGGCCTCGGTCCTCACCTTCCTCTAGTCCAGTGCTTTTCAACCTTCCTAATGCTGCAGCCCTTTAATACAGTTCCTCGTGTGGTGGTGACACACCCCCATCATAAAAAATATTTTCATTGCTACTTCATAACTTCAGTTTTGTTGCTGTTATGAATTGTGACATAAATATCTGATGTGCAGGATGTCTGACGAGGGGTCACAAACCCACTGAGAAGTGCTGCTCTAGTCCATCCTACATAGCTGCCAGAATCTTTTTTTTTTTTTTCCACTAACATACAGACTAGGCATCAGTTCCCCAATTAAAACCTTAATTAGCCTCCTCCAGGGCAGCCTACCTTCTTAACCTTCCTCTAGATAAAACAGGCCTCTGGCTAGAGTCATTTAACAAGCCTTTACGTACACAGCCGAGCGTTCCAGCCATTTATAAGGTCCTCCCTCCCCAGGGCACTCTAACAGCACAGCTTCCACGACCTCATTTGACACAGCTGCTGCCTGAGGTGAGGGTCCTTCATTCATCTTAGTAGCCCCAGCCGTAAACTGGAATAAGTTCCAACAAAAGCCCTTGGACTTGTTGCTTCTCTGACACTTCAGTTACTTGAGGACTCTTCCAGTTCCTCCCAACATTCAGACATGGGACAGCAGGAAGTGACTGAAATATCACAGTCCCATCTAAGGCTGGCTATTAGCTGTTTCCATCCTGGCTGGAAAGTTTGTCCGAGGAAGTTTCCTCACTGACCAGCTGCCCCACCCACCTGTTTCATCTTGGCCAGCTCTCTCCTGGTATGCTCGTCTTGCCTCAGGTCCTTTTTATTCCCCACTAGGATGATGGGCACGTTGGGACAAAAGTGCTTCACCTCCGGGGTCCACTTTTCAGGAATGTTTTCTGCAGAGGTATCACAAAAGATGTAGATGAACCCATTTAGCAACAGAAGTTCTGCCTTCCACAGCAGTCACAAGACTGTTGAACAAGCAGCACCCTGCGCAGCTCAAAGCCCCTTGCAGTGGAGACCCCTGATCCCAAGGGCCACTGTCCCCAGAGCAACGGAGAGTTACAGGGACTACATGCTCCCAGCACTCCCCCTACTCCCCAGAGCCTCTGAAGATGGGGGCTACCAAATGCTCTCAATCCCTCCAAAGCCTTACCAAGGCTGTCAGGACTGTCAATGGAGAAACACATGAGGATGACATCGGTGTCCGGGTAGGAGAGAGGCCGCAGGCGATCGTAGTCTTCTTGTCCTGCTGTGTCCCACAGAGCCAGCTCCACCTGACACACAGGACTAGAGCTAGCCCAAGGGCCTCTACCCTACCACCTCAAGGCCCTCTGAAATCACTGTTCCTATAAACTACCCGAACATCTTTTTAGCCCTTGCTGTGTACCGGGTTGTAGTGACCAATCACAAAACCAATGATAGACCATTTGAAAAGTCTAAGATGGCTTTGATCTTTGTGTAGTATGAGCTGCTACTGTAAGCAGCATTTAATTCCTCCAGCAACCCTTTGGGGGAGATCTTGTCCTGATTTACATTTTGCAATGGGGAGAGGTTAAGCCCAGAGGCAAAGGACTTGGCTCAGATTCCAGAGCCAGTATGTGGTCAAACCAGACGGTACGTCCAGGTTTTCTATGGCTACAGCTTCACTTTCTAACTTTTGCTGGTTCCGGCAGGGAAATGAAGCAAAGATGTACGTGGGTGGTAAGAAAGAACATACTAGGACCCTACGTGACTGGGGGGCCAGGGTTGTTGGCCTTCACCTGCTTGCCATCGACCTCGATGTCTGCGATGTAGTTCTCAAAGACAGTAGGGACGTAGACCTCTGGGAACTGATCCTTGCTGAAGACAATGAGCAGGCAGGTCTTCCCACAGGCACCATCGCCCACGATCACGAGCTTCTTTCGGATTGCGGCCATGACTGAAACTGGCAGGCAAGAGGCAGTGGGGATTTGAAGAGGGGAGGAAATCCAGTAAGTCCAAAAACACTTATCTTGGGCCCCCCAAGCTTGCCTGGAAACCACAACATCCAGCAGAGGAAGGGAAGGGGGTTTGCCAAGAACCAATCCTGCAGGCGAAAGACCTTGAAATGCTACTCAGGACAGGTCTTCCTAGATAGGTTACAATTGATCAGAAGGAGAAGGATGACTCTTGGGAGCCAGGAATAATGGCTTAAATCTTGCCCATTCAACTGCAGGACCCAGAACATCTGAGAAGTGCTCAGATGTGCCCCCGAAGACCTAGATTTATCTGCCTTGCCTATCAGTTTAATGTGTTACCAGGATTTGGACAGTTTTAATAATCACTAAATGCAAACTAGAATAGATTGTCCCTCAGTAGGAGCCTTGCTTGCCGGGTCACAAAGTCAGCTGCAGGTAAAGCAAAGACCACCTGTGGAGCCCCTAGGGGTCTGTCTCTCCCTGGATATGCACAAACTTTGTTAGGCATTTTGAGAAAAAATAAATAAATCTTCAGATCTCTAGTTGCCTGTTAGGTAGATGGTGGCCTTCCTGTTTGATAACAAAACCCTATTTATTTATGGGGGGGGGGGTGGAAGTCAAAGAACAACTTTGCAGTCAAGTCTACATTTGCATGGGTTCCTGGAATCAAACTCAGGTAGTTATGCTGGCAAGTCCCCTTGCCTATTGAGCCATCTCACTGACCCCAGGCCTTCCTACTTTGACCAAGTAGGAAACTGAGGCTCAGTGAGGTTTAGCCACATCTCTAAGAGTCTGACACATAAGGTGCAGGGATGGTTCTCAAAGCAGGGCTGTTGTGATCGAGTCTGTCTTGCCTACATGGCACTCCACAGGTGAAAACCGAGGCTGAGAAAGTAAGCCAGAGGACAGTGGAAGCATCTGGCTGCCTTTGCCAGCTCACCCCATCCCTTCCCCAAAGTCTCAAGTCACACAAAGAAGGCTCAGTCCTGGCAGCTCACGGTCAGGCAGCCTGTGCCCCCCCCTCCTGGGCCTGGCAGCAACACTGGGTCACTCAGCCCCTGACAGGGGACAATGACTACGCTATGGGGAGCCACACATCTATCCGCAGTGACGGGAGCTAATCCACTTGGGAATCACCTCCACCCACTCCGGAACAGCCCCTTCCTCCTTGTGACCAGCAGACCCTTAGGCCCTGCAGGCACCTCCCTATGACTCAAGGCAAGGAGCCTGCCTCTCTCAGGCTCTGCTTGTGTCCCGCACCCCAGCACACATGAACAAGCAGCCCACACCTTCACGGCTTCTCTTCAGGGCCTCTGACCAGGCCACTGAGGTCCCCAGGCCTACTGGGCCTGGGAAGGAGAGTGCCAGCCACCTCTGGAGTAGAGATGAGGTGGAAGCACAGAGGGGGAGGGGGCTAGAGCCTGGGCTGGGAGGAGCCCCAAAAGAAAAGACTAATGAGGACCAGTCTACGCTTTGACTAGGCAGGGAGCAGTTAAGAAGGGGACAGTAACCTGATCTCTCGGCCCCAAACTTGGCTTTTCCTTTCAGTCCCATATCCTGTCTGGCTCAGCTGAGCTCCCTTACTCCCAGCACACCGCCACCTCCAACCCAGTCCTGGGCCTGCCTCTTAGGAAGCTGAATACTCCAGCATCAGGCCCGTGAGCAGTTCCTCCCTCCCGTACACACACAAACACACACAACTGGGATGTGAGGGAAGAGGACATGAGTCACAGAGAATTTATAGGAGTTGAGTATGAACAGCCACACTTAACCCCCACACCCCACCCCACCCCCACCACAAGGGGCTCTCCCTGGAACCCTCGAGAGACGGGGAAGAAGGCATTCGCTCAGCGGCCTATCTCCATCGACAGTGAGGTCTGGGAGGTATGCCCAGGTAACCCCCCAACTCCCATTAATTCAGCTAGTCCGGTCGTATACGGGCTGCTGGAGACAGCAGCCCCAACCCAGGGTGGACAGTGTTGGAGGTGACGGATACAAACCCTAGTCACTTCCGCATGCAAGTGCTACTGTTGTCCCATGGCAAGGCAGTTGGCAGCAGATGGTGGGAAGCAGAGGCTGCAACTTCGGGGCAGGGTTGGAGCCCCAGCTCAGAAGATTTCCCATCTAGCCTCTGCTGGGGCCAGAAGAATTGAGGACCCAAGCCAAGCCAGGACATTAGGCCCAAGGCCAAAAGGGCATGGCTAACACTCCCTGTGAAAGGCGGCCCCAGAGGAACTGCCCCACTGACCCTAAGAGAGACAACGAAATCTCACTCAGGGCCTGGAGAGGGGTCTGGGACAGGACACTAGCCCTCCTTATTCTCTTGGTTTCCCAGGTGATCCAACAGGCCTTTGTACTCTGCTCCCCTGGGATCTAGAGAAGGAATCACTCTTTGGGCAACACCTTCCTTAACTTTAAAGCCAGAAGTGAAGGAAGAACTGGGCCTCAGCTTTCAGCCCAACCCCCTAACACTCCCAAACCTCCCAAAAGGGTAGGAGGCAGAGTTGGGAGATTTGGGTGTTTTGTTCTGGCTTTTTCCTCACGGTCAGACTCACACACACAACACAGTAGCGGGATCTTTCCTAGTCGTCTCAAGCTCTTAGCTCAGATCAGCTCCAAAAACCAGCCTAGGGCGGAGTCCAGACTCGCCAGGCAGTGGCAGCCCCCCAATGGTCACATCCCGCCCCTATTCCCGCCATTCCCCATCCCAGGCCAGAACTCCCTCCCCTAGCCGGTCTGAGGCCCTGTTCCTTACGCCGCGCCCAAAATTGGAGATTCTGGGTAGGGTCGCTCACGGAGATCCAAGTATGTCCCTGTCCCAGCTAGGGAGGTTTGAGAAGGCAAAGCTCAGAAAGGAAGAGACTGGTTCGAGAGCCCAGGAGGGGAGAGCGCCTACTGGGCGCCCTCCTATGTCCGGCTCGAAGGCCCCTCCCGAGCCTCTCCCCGAGCGATTGGAGAACCGGGAAAGTGCTATCCACCGAGGCCAGTTCCCACGACGCCTCGCCACCCCCCAGCTCGGGCCCCGGTACCTTCCGCTCCGCCGCCTCCAGCTGCGCTGGCCGGTGCCGGAGGCTCAGACTGACCCCGGCCCCGCCCCACTCTCCAGCACCGCTCCGGGGCGGGCCCGTCAAGGGGGGCGGGGAGGGTCGACGGGGGCGGCCCTTGGCTCGGCCCGCCTTCGCTCCGGCCCCCGGTGGCCGCAGGTCACCCGGGCCGCGGGCTGCGCACGGAGTGTAGGGTTGAGCAGAAGGGACCGCGCCGGGAAGATGTCTGGATTGCTGGGTGGTGAGCGGGCGTGTGGGACCCCGGGAGGACTCGGGCTGCTCCACTTCCAATCCGTGGGGGGCGGACCCGTGTTGGGAAAGTTGAGCGTACTCCCAGGGTGGGGTCAGAGAGGACCGCTGCTGCCCTCGCGTGGCCAAGCAGCCCTCGAGGCTCTTGGCCCTCCTACGCCCTAGCTGTGACCGAGGGGACGGATATTGCAGAAGCTGCCTGCTCTCGCTTCAGGAATCACTGCGGTAAGTGCAACCGGACGCTATCCTGAGCCTCGGAGGCCTCTTGTGATCTGCAGTCCCCAGCCTCCGTTGCCTTAAAAGTCCCTTCCTTCCTTCGCCGGGAATTTCCCCACGTCCTGTCAAGAGCACACTCCTGGAAGTGCTTCCTCGCCCTCCGCTGGGAACTGAGCTCACACTCCCATTGTGCTGTTGTGCTGTTAAGCCCAGTCTGACGTGTTCCTTAACTGACCGTGTTTCTCCTTCCTTATAAAGGGCCAAAGAAGTGGGTGTATGAGGAAGTCTACCACTATTTTATTTGCTAGTGTTGGACACTTTAAACGGGCAGGTCTCTGGAAGAAGTTCGCCAAATCCTTTTGCCTGTAAAGAAGGTGAGGCCCAGAGAAGCGTTTCCGCAAACGATGTGTGACAGCACGAATTTACAGTGAGGTGGGCCTTGACGACACACAGGAAGCGGAGGCAGGTGATCTCCATGAGTTAGTTCCAGGCCAACCTGGGCTACATACATGAGATCCTGTCTCAAAAACCAAGCAAGCAAGCCACCAGTCAGATTTACACTCAGGCACGTGAGGTGCCCACGCAGATGATGGCTCCCTACTGCCTTGAGTGGGCCTCTTCCAACCTGCCTTCTGCACCATCCAACCGACCTCTGCTCGGCACAGGTTTCAACAGAGATTTGCTGAATAAATGCATGTTAGAGCTCAGACGGAGTCTCGTGCAGGTGCAGCTGGGCTGGTGGCTCGTGCCTGTAATCCTAGCACTCCCGAGGGAGCAGGCCAACATAGGTTGTGTCACCAAACTGTCTCAAACCCAGGCAAATGCACACACAGACGCTCACTCAGGACAGGACACACAAACCATACATTCGGTAACCTGGGTGGCGAAATGCAGTTTGGCCCTCAGCCTCTTCATTCATTCAGTAAGCGTCGGCTGAGTGTGAACCGAAAGCTCTATAATAACCATGAATTTCTGCTTAGTCTAGCTGTGTGGTGGCAGCCCACATCTTTAATCCCAGCACTCAGGAGGCAGAGGCAGGAGGATCTCTGAGAGTCTGAGACCACCCTGGTCTACAGAGCCAGTCCTAGAACAGACGAGGCTATATAAAGAAACCTTGTCTTGAAAAAAGGATAGATAGACTTACACTGTGAAGAACACAAACAATCAAACAGAGCTAACAGTTGTTGAAGCTTTATTACATGAACTTTGCCCCCAACCCACACTATGTTTCGTGTTTATGTTTAGTTCTTATGAGGCCATACTGTTATCTTCATTTTACTGAGACATGGAAGCTCAGAGAAGTTACAGTGTCTTTGGGTCAAAACAGACCTAAAAGTCCCTGTTCTTGGGGCTACGGATGGCTCAGTGGTTAAGAGTACTGGCTGCTTTTCCAGAGCACCTAGAGTCAATTCCTAGCACTCACATAACAGTCCCTGACTGTTCCTGGGAGTTCCAGTTTCCCAACACCCTCATACAGATGTATATGCAGGTAAAACACCAATGCACATGAAAGTAAAAATAAATAATTCTTTTTTTAAAAAAAAGAGTCCTGCTCTTACTAGCTACTGCCTATTGGTTCCTCCTATAGACAGTTGTAATCCTGGCCTTGGTGACATACAGGCACTACAGCATACCCAATCCTGGAGAACAGGTAAAGCAGTCAAGGAAAGATAATGTGAGGTTTAAAATAAGTTGTAGCTATGGCAAGCTACAGAGTTGGGAGAAGGGTGTTGAAGCTGGAGAAAATGAAGGTCCCTGGATGCCGTGCTCAGGACTTAGCCTCAGTTCTGTTCTAGGCATAACAGTGAGTCACTGAGGTAAGGAAGCTTGTGTAATAAAGATCTAAGGTGGTGGTGAGGAAGGCAGAAATAAAGGCAAATATGAAAGATCTTTTAAATAGTCAACCGTCTAGTCACACATCCCTTAATAAGAGATGTTATGAGAATGTGTTGCTAGGGAGTTCCATCATTGTGTGAACCGCAATAACTTACACAAACTGAGATGGTACAGCCGAGGACACAGCTCGGCTACGTGGTGTATACGGCCACTGAGGTGGCTGATTTCCTGAAACACTAGATGGCCTGCATGACTGAAGTAGTTGAGAATTGTAATGGAGACGCATAAGCCAGGCGTGGCCAGCAGCTGCATTACTAACTCAAGCAGCCATGATGGCGCCCGCTGAAAGGATGAAGCCGGAGAAAGAATTATTGACGGGGGAAATTGTGAATTCAGTTCAAGGTGCGTTGCTCGGAAGCACCAGGGTACTGTGGAGGGGACGGCTGGGAGATGACTGAACGTGTGGTCCTCAAAGCTCAGCAAAGGTTTGGGCTGGACACACAGACTTGGCAGACGCCAGCAGATGGAAGGAGCCACTCGTGGCAGGTATGTGGGCCGGGAAAAGGGGACAGCGGGGGAGCCTGGGGAAGCCACATCTTTAGGAATATCCCGGGGTTCTTTCCATGCCCGCTTTTCAGGTTCCAGTCGAAGCAAATAGTGACACACACCTTTGTCTACCTGGTTTATTTGCTGATTGCTGTGATTTTGGATCCAGTTGGGTGTCCCATTTCTTTGTCAATTAAGTGGCCACTCAAGTGTCAGGGACACAACTTCCGTTGTTTGGGCTGGGAGAATGGTAACAACGGAGAGGCTGGGATGGGTGAGAGGCATGGGGCTGAGCCCTTCAGGAGCAACTGCTGCCTGGCCCTCCCAGGGGGATGACGAAGACCGAGATGTCATCCCCGGAACCCAGCTTGTTGTTTGGGAGACGCCAGCCACGGTCCCGGGGGATGCCCCGGGCCCCCAAGACCAGAGTTTGGGCCAGAGCTGTATACCTGCCAGGAGCACATGTGAACATTCATGTACCAACATGTAGATGAGAAGACAGATGCAGGCCCGCATGGGGGGCTCCAGCGTTTGTCCCCCATTGCCCCTTCCTTCACCAGGACAAGCCCCCCCGCCAACACCTTGCCAGGAACCCCCTACCTGCTGGGATCATTGGGCTCATAGACTGACAGCACCCTGTCCACAGTAGCAGCTACCTCACTGTCATTGGTCACATCCCACAAGCCATCTGTTCCCAGGACCAGCACATCATCTGGACAGTGCTCATACTGTGTCAGGTCATATACACGTACCTGGTAGCCAAAGAGAGAGAGGACAGTGGTGTAAGCGTTGCTAGACAGGGAGGTTGGAAATAAAAGAGCCCTGGGTAAAAGCCAGTCGGATCCTCCTGAAGGAAAGGAGGTGTGCTCACCTCAGGGAAGCAGGAGAGGAAGGGCTTGATGGGCAGAGTGGAACTGCAGACCTTCAGGTTGTGGTCTCCCAAGCCTCGGGTCACCCCAATGGTGGCCATTACCCGGGCCTGGGCGAAGTGAGAAAGAACGCTGCTGCTATTTAGTTCCTCTCAGACTCACTGAAACCACAGAGCCTTCCCACACCTACTAAGAAACCTCCACCTCCCTCAATGAGCTGTAGCAGGTCTTCCTGCCCTCTCCCACCTCTACCCGTGGGGAGGGCCCTGTTTTACCTTTTTGCCCTCTCCACAGACCAGAGGGAACCTGAGATCCTCCAGCTCAATCTTTTTGTAGGCCCTGGGGAGGGAGGAGTAGAGGAGGCATCACCCAGAGGGCAAATCCCCCATCCCCTATGAACAGCACCCACCACACACAAACCCTTCCAGGGAATGGCCGTATTCTGAGCCTGACCCAGCCCCCAGCTCCACCTTGCTGCTGGCGAATGGCTGGTTGCATTGCCATGGGAACGGCCCCAGCTCTAAGGGAAGTGTTACCAGCCAGTCATATTCTGGTCCCTGTACAGCATCCTCTGCCCCAGCTCCTTGGGCTGGACTCTTCGGGGGAACTCAAGGTGGGTGAACTCACTTCCTAGCAGTTCTGGTTTCAAGAAGCCCTGAAGTTGGGAGGGGACAGACGGGAGAGAGAGCATAACACTCATCACACAGCCCCGGTACAATGTATAACTGTTAAATTACAACAGGTCCTTAAAAGAAAGTTTACTGAAGGCTACACTCTCCTCTGATATTAACATTAATGAGCTCAGTCACCCCTCACAATGGCCTGGGAGGCAGGAACCATTGAGTAAGGGACTTGTCAGAGGTTACACAATTAGCAAAGTACACAAAGCAGGATTCAGTGCCCCTCCCCCTCCCCCGGCAATCAGGATAGACAGCCCACAGGAGTATGCACTAAGATAACACCCTTGCTTTGGCCTTTGTTGTTCTCATCCCCCACCTCTGACTATTTCCTTCCTCAACTGGGGCTACAATGGCAGCCCAGGCTCCTTCTCGAGGCTGCATCATCTCTCCAGCTCACCCAGCATTCCACAGTCCATTCAGCACCTTCCCAGGAAGTTCCCAGTAGGAAGCTTTGAGAGGCGTTAGAGGAAAAGACTGGGGTAGAGGGGCTGGCCCCCACTTACAAGCAGCTGAAGACGCTGGCGCTCAGTCTCCGGTGTGAACTCCCGAGACATCGGAATGATTTCACCATTCCTGATAATGATGGCCCTGCCCAGAGAGGAAAAGATTTGGACCTAGCTTTCTCCATGTGCAAGAGGAGCAGGCCCTCCCCAAAAGGAACCTGATGATTCCTTATCCAGGTCCTCATCCTTCCTTCCCTTATGGATATGTACAACTTTTCCTTCTATCTGTCACCCCACTGAGCACTCCAATCTTTAATACCTAGCCCACCTCCCACTCTGCATTCTCTTCATCCTGGAGAGTGCAGCCCCTTACGCTGCGTTCAAACCTTCCCACTCACCTGCTGTCACCCGCATTGGCCACGTACATCTTGCCTAGCAGGTAGACCACGACCAGTGCGCAGCAGCCTCCTTCCACTTGGTGGCCGCGCCGCTCCTGAGCCATCTGCTCATCCTGCCGGGAGAGGAAGGGTCAAAGGGGACACAAGGTGGATTCTGGGGGGCACCCATCGACCCCCCCCATCACACAGTGCTGACTGGAGGGTCTGTAATAGTACATTCCTGGAGCAGGCCACCCACTCACCATGAGCTGGAAGGCGTTCTCAATAGCCCCTATTACCAAGCTGTCATGTGTCACTTCCTTCTGTGGAGACCAGCAGGACTGAGGGCTAACCAAGTGTGAGTGGTCAGAGAAACCTGGGGTCCCCGGAGTGGAAGGGAGGCACAGGGGAGGTGGCGAGCGATCCTGAAGGATTTCTACTATATCCTTTAGCTGCTCCCGGATGTGGCGATGCAGGAGCCGGGAGGCCATTTCAGCTGCTCCACCACCAGCGTGTCCATCAAACAGGCCCCAGTAGTAGAAGCAGAGTCCCTGGGGAAGGCAAAGTTGGAAGTCAGTGGGGAAGGAGGGTGACAGGGCAGAACCAGCCTGTTAGCAGCCATATAACCATAAAACAGGAGGTCTGAGTGTGATATTAAGTCAAATTAGATCCATTCACTTGTTCACGCACAGCCTACTGTGTCAAGAGAAAGAAGAGCCAAATTAAAAACGTGAAGGATGCAAAGATCAGCACTGATGATTAGTTAAATCATCCACAAACACATGAGCAGCTATATTTTAAATGGAACAGTAAACATTAACAGCGGAAGTAATCTCATTGAAGCCACTTAGGGCTTCTGTGGCAGAGCAAAACCTCCACACTTCTCGGATTTAGGAACCGATGCCTGAAGTCTGAGGGGAGAGGCGTCACCGCATCTCTGGAGGTTAGGAACGGGGATGACATTTTACCTGGTTAGCCCCTGGAACACTCCTTCGGCTTTCCACATAAACGACCTCGCAGCAAGCCTGGTCCTCATTGTGCCTGCTCTTGCCAGCATTGATGACCCTGCCAGGCCAGAGTGTCCCACATCAGGTTAAACACCAGACTAGGTCCTGGAATAACCCCCCACCTTAGACACACTACACACACACACATCCTCTTCTGCCTGCTGGCCAACCAGAAAAAGGTCACAGCTGCCTGGGCTCCGAGCCAAAGGGAAGAGGAGAAGGCAGGGGCAACGAGAAGTACTGTCTGGGTGGCAGAATGTACAGCCCCACAAAAGGCCCAGTGACGACCTGCCTTAGTTCCACCATCCTCGGCAAAGGAGGCTTTCTGGAAGAAGGTGCTGGGAGCGGGGAGGGGGGCTGAGGAGGAGGGTTGTCTAGATGGGAGCAGTTAAGTTTTGCTTCCCTACGAGTCAAAAATTCTACATCCCACCTCAAATCTCAACCAGCTCAGCCAGTGATTATGGACACATTCATCCTCAAGCCGAAAAGCACTCAGTGAAAGTTCCCTCTCTCTTGCAGGGGGGGAAGTCCTCCAGCCCAAATTGGGTAAGGTGGAAATGTAGGCCCGCCTGGACTGGGCAAAGATTCTCTCAGCTACAAACTCCTCTCACGTGGGAAGCTAAGAGAAGAGGTGAGGGGCCGCCCACCACCTCCCTCCACGACCTCAGTGCCCCCATCTCCCAGGCAGCTTGGCTTTCCCCAAAGATTCATTAAAATAATAATAAATACGGGTTCTGGGAGCACGCTGCCACTCAGGCTGTGCGAACCAAGGGGTCTATTTCCTTGCCCAACCAGCACCTGTCTGTCTGCAGACCCCCACCCCCCAAGGGTACTATGGCGTGCGGCGGGCAGACCCTTCCCCCGCCCCGGGAAGCTGGCCGCCTTCTGGTGTCGCGGGCTATTTCTGGGTGCGGAGGGGGAGGGGACCGGTAAGAAGGACAGGGAACTGGGGCGCTGGGGCCAGGAAGCGGGTGAGCGAGTCTTTCCACCCGCGATCTCCCTGGCAAAGGGAACTGCCCCTTCTCGAACCTCCCCTCCCTTAGCCTGTGAATCGCGGGCCCGCGACTGGGGAAGCCGCCAACTCATCCTCGGCGGTACGCGCCCTGCCTGGGAGGGGACTGTCCTGAGCCGGCGAGGGGTAGGGTGGGCAAGGTCCTGAAGAAAGCGGTGGAGGCTGCACCCAGTCGGAGGGATGGCTGGAAGGGGTGCAGGTTCCTGGGATGGTCCCCGGAGCGTCGTAAAGGGGACGCATCCCAGCAGCCGGGTGCGAGGGTGGGAGCCCCATCCTCGGCTGGGAGCCCCGGGGGGCGCTCACTCGGCATAGCCTGTACTCCAGGGCAGACGGCGACCGGTTTCGGGGGGGCTTTGCACAGCCCGGCCTGCGTGGTCGTCAGCGCGTCGCAGTCCCCCGGGGCTCAGCTGCAGGAAGGTGGGTCGGGAGAAGCTCGCCCGAGTCTCCGCGGTCTTCGGAGGCGCGCCGGCCTCCCTCCCAGACCTCGCCGGGGGGCTCCTGGGCGTTTCTGGGGCAGAGGACGGCGCTGAGGTCGTGTTGGGCAGATCTGGGGACTTGGGTCGCTGGGACTGAGTGCCACTCGAGCTCACCAGGTGCGCCACGGCCGAGCGGACCCGGTTTAGCATGCTGCCTCCGTGCCCCGCCCTCGGCCGTGGCCCCGCCCCCAGGGAGGCCCCGCCCCTAGGGCTCCAGGTGGGCGGTGCCCGCACTTGGCTCTTGACAAACTTGCCCAGGCTCTAGGCCACGCGGGAACCGCCCCACCGGCTCCCCCACGCCTCTTCTCCGCATCCCTGCTCGGTTCCGCCAGAATGTCACCGGGGAAGGGTCCGTCCTGGGAAGGAAGCGGAGCAAAGGAAACATTTCGGCCGAGCTGTAGGTTGGACATCCGTTAGATTTAATCCGCTAGAATTTACCCATTATGACGGGGGTGGGAGAGGCAGCCTCCTCGCGCTCGGTTCGGGTTGGCCAGCCAGCATGGAGAGTTATGGAGCTGATGACTTCAGAGCGAAACATCCACTTGGGTGTGAAGAACTTGGTGTGACAACACCTCGGGCTGGGGCTGCTGAATCCGGAGAAGAGGGAGAGCTGGTGCCGGTTGCCATGCAGAACAAGCCCAGCGGCCGACCTCCAGGCTCCTGGAGGCGTAATTCTCTCCAAAAGTCCCCTCCAATCGTCGCTTCCATCCCACTTTCTCAGAGCCCCTCCCTCACGGTCTAACTTCTGCTGACCAGTTAGAAACGCTAGCGGCATAAGAAATACCTACGATTATTGAGGACTTGGCTTCACACTAGGCCCTCTCCGCAAGGCGCGCGCTAGTCATTAAGTCATTACACCAACCCTGCAAGGTGGGCTCCGCCCATTTTACAGATGAGGCAGGGACAGACAGTCTCCTGTTATTTTGCTAGATTTGCCCAAGAGTCACGCAGCCACTTAGAGAGACGTACCGGTGTCAGAACCTGCTGTTACTGACGCTGGTTTCTCTGGGTTAGGAAAAGGCGCAGAGGGGCGTGGGACTCCAAAATCCCCATCGTCTTGAGGGCTCCAAGCAAAACGGGGATGCTGAGCAAGTTCTCTGGTTACCGCCAGGGGGAGGCAAAGACCAAGCTAAAAGCTTGTTTGGGCCGCGGGAAAGCCCGGCGTTTGGAGCCAGCACAGGTGGGCTGTTTTCCTGCCTTCTCTCTGTATACTTGGATTAGAGAGTAGATTACTTCTCGCTCCCTCATCTATCCTCAACAGTTTAACAGAAGTCAAGGCCCTTGAGGGAACCACAGACTCCCCAGTCATAGCTGGGATTCCACCTCCCGGCACCCAGCTAGGTGCTTCCGGATCATACCCAGGGCCTCCTCGAAGGGGTGGGTGGCTTTCTTGAGCAGGTCTAAATAAAAATTCTACAGTGGTCATTCAAAGTACACAGCCTTGCTGTAATTATGTCTGAGCTTTTTTTTTTTTTCTTTTGGTGGGGTGGGGGGAAGAGGGAAGATGAGGACAGAGAAAAATGAAGTTACCAGGGTGGAGGAAGGGCGAACTCAAAGACAGCAGCAAAGGCAGCCAGGGACAAAGAACATACTGCCACTATGGGTATTTTCTTCCTGTTTGAGAAAAACCGAAGCCAACTGTCTGATAAATGACATAGTGTCAGTGGGAAGCCAAAGACTGGAGGAAGAAAAAAAAAAAAAAAAAACATTGGCTTTATTATTCAGTGTTTCTGGGACAGTTTATCTATCACTTTTCAGTGTCACCCAGCTTCCAGGCTCTTCACAGCATCTATGGTGTGGCTGTAGAAATGGGCCACAGAACTAGGGCCCATAGACCCCAAGACTCCAGTCCCAGATAATGGACAAGGATGCCAGCTGCTCCCCTGTTTTTTGGAACCAATCTGGCTCCCATCCATAATCAAATTCTAGGGCTCCCATACCTCTGAACCCCTCCCCTATTCCTAGACCATCACATCGCTTCCATCCCGACTGACCCACACCTGGTGAAAGGATCTCTCCCTCAGGGGTGCTGGCACACATCTGTAATCCCAGGATATGGAGGCAGAGACAGGAGGATCACAAGTTAGGAGCTGGCCTGGGCTACATAGTAAATTCCAGGCCAGCCAGGGCTACATAATGATATTTTGTCTTAAAGAGGTAGAGGGAATGGCTTAGCAGGTAAAGGTGTTTACTGCCAAGCCTGATGACCTGAGTTCAATCCCCAGCACCTACACAACAGAAACAGAGATCCAGAGAGAAGGGGAGAGAAAAAGAGAAGGAAGAGCCCCACCCCTTGTCCCAGGCTGTATGCTCAGGACCCTCAGAACCAGGCTCCTCCTCCTCCTTCGTTTCTCCCACACACCTAATCACGTCCCCAAAGCTTCCTTACTACAACAGGTGTGTGCACCCCTCCTCGAAGAGACAGAGTCACAAAACACCTCTCCCCTCCAGCGTTTAATACATCCAAAATATAAGCCTGTCAAAAAAAAAATTGTAATTGGGATTCTTTACCAACTTTCTGATGAAGATACTAGGAGCTTCAGGTTTGGTTCCCAAGATGAGAGTCATACCCATTAGCCACGGGGCCAATCACCTGCCTCTTGAAGCCTGGTTCTCCACCCTGGTACTGTACCTAGTCCTCTCAGGTAGAAGGGCTGCACCTTTGTCCCGGAAGTACTTACTATGCCCTTCTGATGTCAACCAGGAGCCTCTGGGGTAAACAAACAAACAAACAAACAAAACAAAGCAAAACCTTCGTGCAACATGGGAATCTCCCACCGGTCCTAGCTTCCGGTGCATGGAAAGCACCTTAAATAACACGTGATATCTCCCCCCTACCCCCCCCCCCCCCTTAGCCAGATACGGTCTGGCTAAGGCAGCCCTACCTGGTCTGGAACCCTACGAGAAAGCATATAAACCAAGCTGTCCTCAAACTTTCTGCCTCCCTGTCCCCCGACCCCTGCTGCGTTTGCTTGTGTACTTGTGTTTTGTTTGTTTGGGTTGGGGGGTTTGTTTTGGTTTGGTTTTTGTCGTTTTAGATAGGCTCACGCTATAGCCCAGATTCACAGGAATCGTAACAATCCTCCTGCTTCGGTCTCCCGAGTTCTGGGATTATAGATATGAGCCACTGTATGTGGTCTGAAGAACTGGATTTTAAGATTTAATGAACTCGGATTTAAATAACAGCCTACTGCTGGTCTGGGTGAATACTATTACCTACCTCACTGCCCACTCCCATCCCAGAACACAGGACTAGGGGCCACATTTCCTGGAGGATTTAGAGACCTGCTCTAATTGATGCGTTCTGGCTAGAGAAACTACATGAAAACAGAGCCCGTGGGATTTTGTCCCTGGTCTCGCCCTGCGCCACAAGAGGCCGCTGCGTGCCAGCTGTGCCCATCCTCCCGGCAGAGCGCCCCACGCTGTCTCGAAGGAGACGGCGGTGCCCGCAAGGGCTGAAGCAGCGGGAACGACTCCCAGCTAAGCGGCGCGGCTGCGCGCTCCCTTGCCTGCCGGGCGGCAAGCTCGGAAGGACCCGGCTGAGCCGGGGAGCCGGAGGGTCCTGGCCCGGAGCATCCATCCAGGTGCTCAGAGCTGGGCACACTTGAGTCAGGGACTCCAACTTGGCCAGATCGCTCCCTACCCCTCTCTTCTGGGAGCAGCAACTTAGTGATCAGATCGCGGGGAGCGCTCGGGACAAGACAACACCCGAGCTGGCCACTCCCGCGAGAGCCCCGTCTTTGGGAGTCTATATGCGAAGCCCAGAGGCAGCGAGGACCTCAGGCCGGAAGGTTGAGCCAGGACCAGTGCTGTGGAGCAGGTGGGTACCTGGAGTAAGAGTGGGCGCGGGAGGGAACCGGAGCCAGCAAAACAAGGTCGAAGGTTCTTGCTGATCCCTTGCTTGTATGCAGCCTCACCTTAGCCTGAACTGGCCATTGGGGAAACAGCCCAAGGAAACTGAGGCAGACTATGGACACCGAAGATCAAATCCCAGAAGCTTCCTTCTCCAGGACCATTTAAGGAACGGGGTGGGGTTGGGGGTGGAATGCCAGAGGTCCTGAGTACCCATCTTGCCCAGGTTCTCTGATCGTTGGAGTACCTAGGAGGAACGTGTGAGTTGTATCGGCCGCTGCGAGAGCTCAGCCAGAAATAGGATGCTCCCAAGAGAAGAACAAGTGGCATTTGCAATGGTCAAAATAAGGGCTTCTGACACAGCTTGGAAGAGGACACCCACTGAAAAGAGAGGCGTGTCTAGAAGGGTGGGAACACACCCGTGTCCAGGGCGGGTGGGCAGGCTCTTCCATCCCCCACGCCCGTTCCCCTCTGCAGGCCTTTCCTGAGATGGCCAGCCTGTGTTTCAGTTTTACTTCTCAATGGAGACTGAGTGAAGAGAGGACCTTGTGGGAGGATGGAGACGCTCTTGTGGGCTGTGCACTGAATCAGAGACCTGTTGCACTGCCGGGCTAGCCCTCAGCAGTGGGACTGAGGGACAGCCGCAGAAGGGAGCCAGTTCCAGAGGAGTCCAGGAAGCAAGGCTCACGATGGCTTGAAGGTGGAGGCAAAGAGAATTTGGAGATCCAGGGACTCTTTCCCAGGGGCCGGCTTCCAGAAGGCTGGCAAATTCTGCACCTTCTCTGACCCTAACTTTGTCCCAAGACCAGGAAGAGGACAATGGCACTGATTCCTAGACCTTCCTACCCTTGCTTCACTCCTAGGAAAAAGAAAGCCCAGTCACTCTTCCCAAGGCCACTGTCCCTACAGGTTTCCATAGTCTGTGGAGGAGGGAGGGAAGAGGAGCAGGGACAGATCCCTAGAGAAGTGACTGCCCTTGCTGAGGGAACAGCCTAAGGTGGCCTTCCTTCGCCGCTCAGCCCATTTCCCCTAGTCGCTTCTAAGCTTTCTCTTATGCACCTCCACCCCCCAGGGATCTGCCCTGCCTCTGCTCTGAACAACCTTTATATTGCTCCCTACTTGTCCAGATGGAATGAGTCTGAGCCCAGCAGATGAACAGATAAAAGCCTAAAGACCCCAGGAACGGTAAGTGGGAAACCTGGAGATAGCCTGGAGGAGTGGACATTACCCCCAAGGGAGCAGCGGCATCCTTTGGTTTAGCACATGGTATTCCTAGAACTGTGCTGGCACTTGCCAGGGCCAGTGACCCAGGCCAACCCTTGACCATGTGGCCTCCGGGGGCTCTTTCTGTCCCCTTCTATGTCTAGTTTCTCTCAGCTGTGTGTGTGTGTGTGTGTGTGTGTGTGTGTGTGTGTTTCTGCTTTTCTGGTTTCTCCCTGGTTCTTATCCATCCTCTGGCTAGATGTTGGAGGCCCTGTTTGGTTCACAGAAGAAAGGAGGAAGAGAACAGTGGGCCGAGGGCAGGCCTCTGGGTCCTGTCCCATGCCAGTCAGCCTTGGGCAAGACATTCAACTTGTAGCCTAGGTTTCTTTTTCTCCCATTTACTTGTTTGTTTGTCTGTTTTCATGTGTGTGCATGATGTTTGCATGTGTGTGCCCACGTGACAGCCAGAGGAAGCCTGTCTGATAGACATCCTGCTCCATCACTCTCCACCTTCCTCCTTTCAGGCAGGGTCTTCCACCGAGTCTAGCACTAGGCAGTCCAGCAACCCAGGGATCTTTTTACATCGTCCAGCTTTTTACATCTCCTGTTGGTGTTCTCATGCTTGCTCAGCAAGTACTCTTACTCACTGATCCATCCCCTTCAGCTGTGTTTTGTGTTTGTTTGTTTGTTTGTTTGTTTGTTTGTGGCAGGGTCTTCCTATACAGCCCTGGCTAGGCCTGGAACTAACTATGTAGATGAGGCTGGCCTCAAACTCACAGAGATCCACCTGCCTCTGCTCCCCTGACTGCAGAGTACAGGTGTGCGCTGCCAAGCCCAGAGATCTTTTTTTTAAAAGCCCATTTCTTTTTTTTTTTAATTTAAATTGCGTTCAGATCGAATTGCTACTATAGTCTTATGGTTTGAAACTCAAACATGTAATGGGGGGGGATTCCATTCTTAATGGCAAACAGAGCTGGTGTGTACACATGAGGCAACCCGAACTCCCTCCCTGGTACACACTGTCTACTCCGTGTGTACGCCTCCTCCTGTTGCTCTTTTCCCTCCTGTCAGACTGGCTTTTCACCGCAGTCTACCACACAGGTCCTTACAAAGTTCAGTGATAATTTTGGTTTTCGTTGTGTTGTGTTCTCTTCTGTTCTGCGTTCCCAGCAATCCAGAGGGAACTGCATTTCCAGATTCTCCACTGTACTCAGTTCCTCTACTGATGGCTGTTTGGATGGTCTTTATTTTTGTTTACAGATGAAGACTTTTTGGGCTTTATTTGGAAAAATGGATAATAGCAATCCCTCTATTGGGATTTAATCAAGAGCACAGGAGTGAAGTGACTAGGTCAAGAGATCAAAAAACAGGAGTCATCATCGCTGTCTAATCCATGGCACAGCCCTTTGATTCACTCTGCAAAATCTCTCAAATGTCTCCTCCCCAGGCTCTGCCTTCCTGTCCCTTGGTCCTTCTGTGTCACTCATCACTTCCGACAGTGACATCGTACCTGGCTGCAAGCTGCCTGGAGTCAAGGTATGCGTCCTGCTTAACCTTGCGCCTCTAGAGCATGGCGTAGAGAAGGGGCTGAATCTGGGTTCAGACGGAGCATCTGCGCTGACCTAAGCAGGGTGTGCACCTCTCTCCACAGAATGAGTGAGAGGGCCTCAAGCAGCTGGAGCCCTGGCAGCTGGGTGCTCGCACTGTGCCTGGCCTGGCTGTGGGCACGTCCGGCCTCTGCCTCCTTGCAGCCACCAACATCTACAGGTTTGCGGAAGGTGGTGAGACCAGGGAAGGGGTTTTCTGGGACATCTAGAGAGCTAGAAGGCACTCCAACCCATCCCACAAAGCAGGCAGATGTCTGGGGGGCAGAGTAAAATTTGAAAAGGTGACTCCTCTGGTCATTACCCAGGGAACTCTTCTTCTTCCTCTGCCCGGTCCAGAGAAGGACTGGGTAGACCTGCTGGCATCATCTCCTCCAGGGGGAAGGTGTTCTGCAGTGAGAGGCCCTCGGGTGGAGGCTTAAGTCTAGTCTCCTGGCCTAATTCTGGGGTTTTCCTTCTGGGATGGCTAAAGCCTCTGTAAGCGGATGATCCTCCCCCACGTATTGTAAGCTCTGAGGCCCTTGCCCTCACCCTGAGAAAGTGGAAAGTGGGGGCTGGTGTGGGACTCCAGCTTTCAAAGAGTCATGAACATGGCCTGGGGGCGGGGGCTAACATGAAGGTTTCATCTGGCCTTTTCTCCTTTACCATTAGCTCTCTCTCTCTCTCTGTGTCTCTCTCTTTCTCTCTCTCTCTCTCTCTCTCTCTCTCTGTGTGTGTGTGTGTGTGTGTGTGTGTGTGTTTTGAAGGTTTGATCCCAGCCCTCTCCCCTATGCTAAGAAACACTACCACTGAGTTCCAGTCCCAGAACCTGATAGCTCTTAAATAACCTTTCCATGAGCCAGGAGGAGGGACTTGAGGGCCTGCAGCAGGGTGGGAGATAGGAGAGCAGGGGTGGCAGCCTGGGGTCTCCTGATCTCACACTGCCGGCCCCACCAGTCCTAGTGAAGCAGGGCACCTGCGAGGTGATTGCTGCACATCGCTGCTGCAACCGGAACCACATCGAGGAGCGCTCCCAGACGGTCAAATGCTCCTGCCTCTCTGGCCAGGTGGCTGGCACCACAAGGGCAAAGCCCTCCTGTGTGGACGGTGAGTGAGCAGCCAGGCCCTGGGCAGCCTGGGCAGAGCAGAGATAAGAAAGTCCATCTAGGCCTGGCCATCTGCTGGGGATCTAGTTTCAGAGCCATCTCAAGGCTTGCCTTATCAGTCTCTTGCAATGGGAATCGTCTCGGAGGAGAGGGCAGACAGAGCCGGCCCTGTGTCACAGAGGAAGAAAGCTCTTGTTACAGGGCCACTCATACACCAACCACCTGATCCCTCCCCTCACACCAACTGCACCTGGCCGCACGCCGCTCTGGTGAGGTCCTCTTCCACAGGTCTCTTATTCTCAGCCTCCTTCCTGTGGACACGTGCGATCACCCACATCGCACACCCAACTCTCCTTCCCTTCTGTTCACACCTGTGCTCTCACGCTCTGGTAACATCCATATCGCCACCATGCTCCTGCTCACTGGCTCACGCACCAGCTGTGCTCTCCCGGATGTGGCTTGGATACCAGCTCATATACACGGAGGGCACTGAAGACAGCACCTTTGTGCTGATGATGGCTGCTCCAGAGTCAGCCTCACCCTCCTCCTGACTTGATGTCCTCCTCCCCTTTTGGTGTGACACAGTGATGAAGTTGATTGCAATAGTGCCTAGATCTCAGCCCAAGTACAATGTTGCCTCCTTGGACAGCCCAGAGTAGGGGGAAGAGAAGGGGAAGGTGGCAATCAAGGCCTGTATGTGGGAAGGTACTCCTCATTCACAGGCCCGCTGTGCCCAGTGCCCCCAGAGCTCAGAGCCACACCTGCCTCCTGCCCCACAGCCTCCATCGTCCTGCAGAAGTGGTGGTGCCAGATGGAGCCATGCCTGCTGGGGGAGGAGTGTAAGGTGCTCCCGGACCTGTCGGGGTGGAGCTGCAGCAGTGGACACAGGGTCAGAACCACCAAGGTATTGAGCTGATACCTCATCCTCCCCTCCTGTTCCCCCTTCACCTGGGGTAGCACAGGCGTCACAGAGTAGCACATCCTGGAGGGCCAGGATAGCGTGCCGTAAGATGGCCGTGCGAGCCGTGGGAACACATTCCAGACAGTCCTCTATGCACTGCTGCCGAGGGGACAGTTCCGCCCCCCCCCCCCCCCCCCCCCCCCCCCCTATGCCCCGCCCCCGGGGGGGCCGCCCCCCCCCCCCCCCCCCCCCGTAGGCAAAACTGATGTTCTGCCTGCCTTGGTTTTCTCCTCTTTGCTTTGCACCACTAGAAAACACTGAGCCTTTTAAAACAAAGCAGAGCAGGGCACAGAGGCGCACATCTGTAATCCTAGCACTCAGCAGCAAGATCAAGAGTTTAAGAGTAGCCTGGGCTACATGATACCTGTCTCAAAAAATAAAAATAAAGAAGGAGAGAACTGAGGAAATTGCATAGGTCATCCAGGGAGCAATTTCTCCTTCTACCTAAGTTTCAGAAACTGTAACCACTCTGCCTGCCACCTTGCCACTGCCTGTCCCCTGTCACCTACACCACTCCTACGCTCCTTAACTTCCTGCACTTCCTACCTGGCCTCCTGTAGTCAGATTGCTTTGTCCCCAGTGACAGCACCCAAGAAGAAGATTATTATCATCATGGCTTGCTGCCTGCCCCGCAAAACAAGGGGTGATTAAAATTTTATCAAACTCTTTAGCAGTTCCTGAGTGCCCTGGCTAATTAGTTGCATGCCTTTGTCAACATCATCTGTGCTGTGCGAACGAGTGACACTTCCCGGCAAGCCACCTCAGTGACTCTGTCCCCTTCCCACCATGCACAGCCAGCAGGCTAACAAAAGGAACCAAAAACAAAACAAACAAACAAACAAACAAACAAACAAACAAAAACCTGGTTCTAAGGTTCTGAGGAACCCACAACACTGGGAGCTATAACAGGAAAAGGTTTGGGGGCTGGGGAGATGCTCAGTGACTAAGAGAACTTATCCAGGTTCAACTTTAGCACCCACATGGCAGCTCAGTACTGTCTGCAACACAGTCCTAAAGGATCTGATGCCCTCTTTTGATCTCCTTGGGCACCAGGCACACATGTGGTGCACAGACCCTCATGCAGACACAACACTTAGATACACAAAACTTTTTAAAAAGTGTGTGTGTGTGTGTGTTTGTGTGTGTGTGTGTGTGTGTGTGTGTGTGTGTGTGTGTAGGGTGTTGGCTGACTAAAAGGGAGGGCAGCCCATCTGTAGGCAGCAAAGGGAGGCAGCCATTTTGAGAATGTCTATTAAGATGTGCCAAATAAGACCTATCACAGACCTTGGGACATTTGCCATACTGTAACAGGCTTGGGTGTGTGGCCTAAAAGGTAGATCACTGCCTTTGCAATTTGTTAGTGACTCAGAAGCAAATGGTGGTGAGGCTTGCCCAACCGGTGTCAGCATGGACCACCAGGCCGCACGTGTTCAGCTTGGATGGCTTTAGGAGACAGGCAGCAGTGACTGCTAAGTGACTTGCCTATCCCGGGGCTCTCTGGCAGGCTACAATGGCTGGTTCCCTGTTGCCTTCTCTAACCTTCTTCTACCTGCTCATTTGCTTTCTAGGTCACACGGTAACTCTTGGAGGTCATGGCTTAGGCAGGACAGCCTTGACTGGGCTTTGGACTGAAGAATGGCTTCTGGTCATCAGATAGCAGATATGAGAACTCACTTCCCTGGACATGTGTCCCACGTCGGCTATAACATTAAACCTGCCAGGGTCCTGTTACTCACCCTGCTCAGTAGAGATGCTTGGATCTTCGGCCACATATTTGAGACCTGCACTCTCCTATGAACAAAGGCCAACACACACAATCCTGTGCCTAAGGAAGAGTTTATCAAGTTAGGGAGTGGATGGCAGACGATTTAAACAGTTTAAAGTACCATGGCCTCTGAGCTACCTGCAGTGGGTGTGGTATGGATGAAATTCTCATTGATCTTCAGCTATCCCCTGATCACAGGACACAAAGTCACGAAATCACAGCAGTCCCTTCCCATCCCGTCCTTCCCATCAGTCCTGCATCCCCCAGCAAGATGCTAAGATGTCAGAGGAAGCACTGTGCCCTGGTGCTGAGCCAGTGAGATCTCTTTTGGACAGTACTAGAAAGTGGAGATGAGTTTTTCAGCACAGCTTTGCAGAGGCAGGGCGGGGCTCCCTCCCTGGCCATCTATGGGAAGCACAGGTCCTCAGAATCAACCCACCCTAAACTTCAGGTGTTTGCTTGTTTTAATGGATGGGAAAGCCGAGTCACAGGGGGATGAGATGATTTGCCGGAGAGCTTACATCTTGGGCTTCCAAAACACGGACGTTGAGATTCCAGCCTAGGCCTTGCAAGATAATTTTATGTAGAGAGTGGAACCCCGAAGCACTGTCTAGATAGCAGCAACTTGTTTCCTAGGAGATGGGGCTTTGACCACTGGGACTTCGATTGAGGCTACTGATCTCCCATCCAAAGTAATCCAGAGTACATACACCCACTGAAGAGTGGAGCCACTTCTCAATCCCCCAAATAGGCCCCCAAACAGCCCAGAGGTCACTCGGCACAGTTACAGCTGGAACACCGTGAACTGACATCCTGTTGCCCTTCTGACCCTTCTCTTCTGGGAGCTTCAGCCAGCTCCCTATATAGGTACCTGCCAGGCCAGAGTAGAGCCCAAGGTCTTCACAATCAGGCTAGTCTCCCAGGTGGCTTGGGAGTAGCATGCTGGCTTCCTCTTATCACCGAGGCCTTAATAGTAGGGTGTTAGAGACCAGCCAGGATGATGCCTGATCCCTGAAAAGGCATCTCCCTTTGCATTTGACTAAGATTCTATAATCACCCCACCTCAGGGCATGTTTTTGTTTTTGTTAAATGAGATGAACAGTCATGTTAACTTCAGAAGGCAGGCCTCTAACAATCTCCGCATGTAGCAGGGCCACAGGCCAGGGTCGCAGTGGAGAGGTCAAAGGCTGTCGTGGCCTCCTTCTGAAGAATGGAGGCTGGCTGGAGGCTAGGGGTTGGCAAATATTTTCTGGGAAGAGCCACCAAGTGAATATTGTATATTCTGCAGACCACATTAAGTCTCTGTGACATATCCTTGGTTTTGTTGTTTTGTTTCATTTTGTTTTAAAAACATTTCAGAGCCGGTCATTGCCATCTTTAGCCCAAGGGTTTGGAAGAAACACACTGTGGCTCATTTCCGGTGTTTGTCACCGCTCCCAGGGGACGGTTGAAGGCTTAGCATGGCCTTTCCAGCCTCCTTGCTTGCCCTCTATGCCGTGGAAACCTGAGCACAGGGCCGGGGCTGGTTTTGTTTTTCTCCTAATGCTCAGAGAGTGATGGGTGAGTGAATTATTTAGGTTACAGCTTCAGCAGAGCCAGACAGTAAAAGCCTGCCTTCCTGAAGGCCAGAATGTAGGCTCTGTAGGCTGGCGTAGAGCTCAGTGGCAGAACAATGGAAGGAAAGGTGGGCTATCTGATCCCTCCTTCCTGGATACTGTCACCCCAGTGCCCATGCCCCCTGCCCTTCCCCAGCTGTGTCATCCATATGAGCTGGTGTCGGAGTGGAAGGTGTGGAAATGAAGGCTCCTCACAAGCTCTTGAGAGCTGCCAGCCCCCACCAGCTCCCACCTGCCTCAGTGTCCTTATTCTGTACCTTCCCTGACCCCCGCTAAAGTTGTTACTTCCTTGTATGAAGTCCTCCAAGCTCCCTCCCTCTTCACTTAGCTATGCATTTATTGGGTGGACTCTGAGGGGCTGCCTGTATATGGCCAAGAGAAGAGCACCTGAATCTCTAGCATAAGGAGAGAAAAGGTTCAGCCACCACCCCAGTCCTCCAACTCCAGCTTCCCAAAATTCTGTATTCAACCAAGTCCAAACCTGCATCTGTTTTGTAGCTATCCAAATGACACTAGAAATAAATGGGTTTCCTTGGAGTAGAGGGGCTTCTGGAGTCATTTGTCTTCCTCCTTCCTCTTTGGTGAGAACATCTCAGTTCTCTGAAGGTCACTAGGACCCATCCCCTCAGCTCTGCAGGCCTTAGGAAAATTGACAGCTATAAATTCACGTGACTAGTTTCTGCTGGCCTCCTGACAGTTTCATTAAGGTCTGTGAGTGATCTCCTGACTAATGACCTCAGACAGTTCCACTACATTGAGGCCACAGCTCCCCAAAACCACAAAATTAGAGTTGCAAGGGGCTTTAGAAGCCAGTTAGGTGACTCTTCCACTTGCCAGCCAAGAAGAGGGCAAGTAGGAAAGGTTACGTAATTTGCCCAAAGTCACACAGCAAGACATGGTGGCATGCCTTGCCCAGCGAAGCAGTACAGAGTTCTTTCCACTGTTACACAGCCCCGTTGCATCCCAGAACAGGGAGAACCTGGAAGGAGGATGCGGCTTTTAGCCATCAGGACTGTGGGAGTCTCATTTTAGAACTGCACAGCAATGCGAGTACCGGGAGCAGAGGGAAGAAGACGGAAACATACACGGAAGAAGATGAGTTCACATACTCGGAGGGAGGGAAAAAGGAGGGGAGGTCCACATCATTGCTTCAGAACTTCAAAAACAAAACTGAACAAGACTGAGGCCACATGAAGGGGGCCTGATCTTTGTCCTCTCTGGAGGAGGCAGTGTGGAGCCCTTCTCAGTCCTTGGCAAACTGGACGTGCTGACTCATACCTCTAGCCCAGGCACTCAGGAAGTGAGCAGGAGGATGGCAAGATGGAGGCTAGGGTGGACCTAACAGAGTCCCTGTCAAAAGAAAAACAACAACAGAAAAAGAACGGAAAACCTTGCAGAACCATGAAGTCCATCTTGACAACCCCGGTTTCTGCACAGGGGACTGCAAACTAAAGCACACAGGCTACATTGTTTTTAATATATAAATAAAGTTTTATTGAAACATGAACCATGCTTACAATTATCTATGACTATTTTTGTGCTATGACAGCATATGTGAGTCATTGCAAAGAGACCACATGACTCTCAAAACCTAAATAACTCCCTGGGAACTTTTTGCCAGCCTTCGCAATAGTGTTTTTACTGTAACCCTCTGAATGTGTACACTGCCAATCTGGAAATTGATGGCTGCATTGGATTTCAGCATTTGGGGAGGTTCTTTTTTTTTTCCTTTGACCTTGTGCTTGTGTTTCTTAAATCCTTTCCAGTGCCTCTTGTGATGTCTAGCAACAACAATAACAACAAAACAGCAACAACAACAACAAAACACAGACCTAAAGTCTAAGACAGAGTCTAGGAGGAGGGTTCAGAGCTGATGGGCACTTCTCAGATGTGCTACAGCCCACAGCCGTTCTCTTTTCCAAGTTCAGGCAACTACCATTTTTGGACTTCTGGAAGGTAACTGCACATGCACCCTCGTGTAAAGATGGGATTGAGCGTGCATGTGTGTGGCTGGCGTTTCTATGTCTGTGGGTGTTAGCATCTCTCTGCCCTCAAGCCAGGATGATATTCAGAATGCATAGAGACCAGCTCAGTGTCGACACTGACGAGAGATGGCTGGACTAGAGATCACTGGCTGTTCACAGCACAGCACCCAGCGTACATTCCCCCTCTCTCTGTGTGGCTGAGAAGGGGCGGGGGGTCCTTCCCATCTTCTACCAGTGTGAGTAGCTAAGCTGGTTCTTGATGTCCTTGGGTTGGTTGTGATTGGTCACCTCGTGTGAGTGTGGGGTGGGCACAGCCCCAGAAGTTGCTGGACTCAGGGAGCTGTAAATGTATTTGGAGCAGATGTGGGGGCTGAAAGTGCAGGGGACCAGAAAACTACTTTTCAAACTGCTCTTGGGGGCACAAATTCCCTTTATCCTCCTCTACCCCATCAAAGCCAAAGCCGTAACCCTCAAAATCGCTCTTGTTGTCTGTGACACCCACCACAGGGCCTCCCAAATGAGCACCCCAGTTCCTAAGCACAGACTTGAAGATAGTACAGCTGCTCTGATTTGTTCCCTTTTTGTTGTTATTGATTTTGTTATTTATTTATCTATCTATTTATTTATTTGAGACAGGGTTTCTCTGTGTAGCCTTGTCTGCCCTGGATTTAACTTGTAGACCAAGCTGGCCTTGAACTCACAGAGATCTGCCTGCCTCTGCCTGAGTGGTGGGATTCCAGGCATGTGCCACCGGACCTGGCTTCTGTTTATTTTTTAAAGATAGGATCTTCCTACATAGTCTGGGCTGACCTTAAACTCATATCAATCCTCCTGCCTCAGAAATCCCAGGCCAATCTCCGGATGTGGAAGACAGACTTCCTTGAGCTTCTGTCTACAACTCTTACGTGCCTGAGTTCTGAAGTTTGGGATGTAACATTGTCTGATCCTCTGCCTTCACAAAGTCACACCCTGATCCTCACAGTCCCTTCAAAAGTTGTTGCTGTAGGTGCCAGAGGGGTGCTCAGTGGTTAAGGAGCACTGTCTGCTTCCAGAGGACCCTGGTTTGATTCCCAACATCCACAAGGGGGCTTCTAACCATCTGTAACTCCAGTTCCAAGAAATGGGATCTACTGCCCTCTTTCCGCCCCTGCAGGCATTGCGTGCATTCAAAACACATATAATAATAATAATAATAATAATAATAATAATAATAA